GAGGTGGGGGGGGTGGAGAGCGTCTTTCCCGGTAGGCAGCGCGCAGCGGAGGGCTGTGCCGCTGTGCACGCTGGGAGTTGTAGTGTCCGGGGCGGGGCCCTGCGGGAGCCTCCTGGTGAGGCGCAGCAGCGGCCTGCCCGGCTGCCGGGAACCTCCCGGTATTGGCGTTTATAACCTGGCATTTACGGGGGAGGTCACTATAATTACTGCCAATGGTGATGCTCTGCCTCTTTGTCAGCGGCGTTACCAGGGATTTACAAGTGGGGAGAGCAGTTAGACAGAAGGTGGTGAGAAGTTGAAAGGTATGAGGGACGCAACGGAGGAGTCGCGTGCTGGGGCTGCCTTCGGGATCAGGATTGGGATTCCTGACCTGAAATTGTCGAGATACCTTGAACTTTGTGTTTGCTAGCTTGCAAATGTAAGTATGACAGGAAAGCATGGAGCAGGTCGTGATGTTGCTGTTGTTTTTAATTTTTAGGAAACCTGACTCGACTTGGATGAAGGCAGGAAGAAAAAACCCTGCGCGTTTTGCCTAGCTGCATCAGAGTTGCCTGTCTGTGTACAGCATACTCGGTACTCATCTTTACAGTAACCATCAAATAGAAATTATAAACTGCAAAAATCTTCTCTGGAAAGAAAGATATCCTCATTTTGGATGCATGTTCTCACAGTCTAAGAGATTGATTTTTGTGAAAAAAAGATTTTACCATTTTTTGTTTTCATAAGAGGCAGAAACGACTCCTAGAACAAGCGTTTTGAAACTGGAGCTTATACAGCTTGACAGCCCTTGGACTTTTATAATAGATGTCCGAATGCAAACTGGATTTTCCATTTTATAACTTCATTCAATACAGTGAGCTAATAGCGAGATAGTTGCTTCTTGTGATGGCACTCTTTTCTCAAGCTGGTCAACAGGGTTTTCAGGCTTTGCTATGGAAGTGTCGTATGTTCTGGCCTGTTTCAAGATGCCAACAACTGTCTGCTCTCTCTTTCAACATCCCCAACAGGGAAAAGGTTAGCTATTTCAGTTTTGTGACGTCTTCCAGCACTGCATTACCAGTAAATTCCAAAGGAACTGATGTCTCTCCTACCAAGAAAAGGTCTGAAATTGATTATGAGGAAGAAAAAGGATGGGATGAGGAGACTAAAGAAATATCTGAAGGGAAACTCCACTTTTCTTCCTCTCTTGGAGCTCCAAAGAAACAGATAATAAGTCAAGTTCTGTCAAGGCATAAATTTACTGACATACATCCTCCAGAAAAACCTTTGCAGGCTGAGGAATGGAACAGGCTGAGAGAAAGCTTTCGATCACCTGAAATATTTGAGGAAGTGATGTTTAACAGTATGGTCAGGTGCAACAGCCCCATTGATGTGGCTAAGTCCTTGCTGACCTGTGTGGCAAAGAGTAATGGTGACATTGCGTATAATTTGTTGGTCAAATATCTGGCATTGTGTGTCCAGCAGGGGCAGACTTCAGAAATTCGTGATGTGTACGATATAATGAAAGCCAGATTTAGAATTTTAGAAAGTGGGGCTTATAACCTTATTATCAGGGGGCTGAGTAATTCAGATAAATGGAGAATGGCCTTGACTCTTTTGGAAGAAGTAAAAAAGATTATGATTCCCTCACGGACAAACTATGAATCCTGTATCAAAGCAGCCAGCCGTCACCAGGAAATGAACCTTGCATTTGAACTTTACCATGAAATGTTGTCTAAGGATTTGGTCCCAACCTTGGATGTTCTGCAGGCCTTTTTTGACTTCAGCAGGGGGATGAAAGGTGCTGAGTTGCAAAAGGAGCTGTTTGGTGTCCTGTTATATTTGAGAGAGAACCAAATATACCCTCACAAAACATTTATGCAGAGTATAAAGCTGTGGTTTGAAAGGTAAATAATGTGTCGATAGCACGCTCCAGTTCATTATGGTTGAATTCAGATTGTTCCATAGATCAACTCTAATAAGATCCCTCAAGACCTCATTCTGATCGTTGCTTCTCCATGAGTGACATTATAATGAAAAGATACATTTTATTTTTTCTCCAAAATTAGTGTAGCAGTGTAAAGTTCTTACTGATTTCACCTTTTCTTGAAAGATTTAACCTGTTAAACATTATTCCTTGGCACAGTAGGAAATCGTGATGGGTCATGGCTGTCCAAAATATTCGACTTCATATCTTTCTGGGGTTGATACATGAGGAATATTGACAGGTATGAGGGTTGTTCCTATAATCTATCAGAGTGCATAAGTAGTAAGTTATTTGAAAATTAGATGGTATATGTTGGACTTGATGATCCTTGAGGTCTTTTCCAACCTTAATGATTCTATGATTCTATTCTGTGATTCTATTTTAAAGGAATGAGGCAGCAAATTTAGCATAGGTTAAGTGAAATTGAAGTATTGAGTTTGTGTAGAGTAATAGGAGAAGAATAAGCATAATGGGATGCTCTTTATTTTAACACAGTGTTTAGCAGGCCACACAGTTTGTTTTCATAAGTAGTGATGGTCAGACTCTGCAAATTACAGCTTGTTACACTGCGCATGCACAGTATCGTTCACCTGAGCCCACTGCATATTTGTCATGCTGTTGTATGTGAGCACATTTATGACTTTTTTTAACTGTTGTCTTTGGTTTATGTTAGCTATATAGCCATTTTACAAGTTAGTCTTCCTGAATAGAAAATATGGCTGTGGGAATGCACTGGCATTATTAGAAATGGTTTGTGCTGCTGTCCCCTATCTGTTTGCTTTCCTGGGAACAGTTAGGGAGCAGATAGACTGGGCTTCAGTCAAGATGAACTTGTTTAGTGGGTGAAACCACCACAGATTTTCCCAGTGAGTAAAGAAGGACTTACCTGTAGGTGTGTGCTGCATGTGCAGGAAACTCAACACAATAGAGTCCTTGTCAAGGAAACTACAGAGGCAGTCAGTACATTGAAGTGCTATATATTGCCTGTATATAGTGGCAAACCAGTACTGCAAGCTGAGGCTAGACAAACTCCTGTTTGTATCTTTAATGCTGTAGTTGACTGTTAGAACAATTAATGACAGATTGTGGTAGACTTGTTTTAATATCAACATTAGGTGTTTCCCTGAAGGAAGTAATGTTTCGAACATGAAGAAGAAGCAAAGTCCATAATAGAGGGATGAAACTAGGGGATAAGTTATCCCATCTGGCTTTTTATCTGCGAACGTGTACAAAATGCTCAGACTTACCTGTCTGTTCCAGTTGCTAGTGCTGAATTGTATATGCTGATGGTTGAAAATAAATAAGCAGTTTACGTGGAGTTCCCAAAAAGAAATAGAATCTGATAACTTCTAGCACTGTTAGTCTTGCAAAAACAAGGTTGATTTGGAGGTAACTTTTGCTGACAAAGGAAGCCCATGGTACAGTAAGCACAGAAGTGAGCTCTGTGAGTGTAACTGTATAGATTATAGTTTTAAGAAGTGATTTTTCTGAAGAACGCACCAGCACTGACTTCTAGTAATGAATAAAGCCAGATCCAAAACAGAGATCTGTGTGTGCAACAAAGAGTTACAGTATTTTCCATGGCCTGTTTGTTGTCTTTGTAAGAAAACTGAAGAACCACTATGTATCGGCATGAGAAATGGGAAACGAGGGCAGAAGCAGGACAGTTATTCCAAAGCCCATGATGTGTGATTGTGCAGCCTGTGATAATAAACACAGTGGCAAAGGGAGAGGTGTCTGCAGTTGCATGTTGACATGGGTATTCCTACTCAGTAACGTATTCTGCTTTGGATCTTGTGGGCAAAAAGGAATATTTGCACTAGTGTGATGGTGGCTGTGGTAGAGGTGGTGATGATGACAACGATGCAGAGTCAAAAAGTCTCAATGCAGCATTTCAGTATGAGCATATCTTTCGTAGTCTCTCAGAATGACATCTGCATAGCAGTTCTGCACAGCAACTTAAAAATTGTCAGTGCATCCTGGTTATTTTTATAGTTCTTAATATTTGGAGACAGCATAAACTAGTGAGGTTGATGGTGTTAGTTCTCAGCATGTTGTTGAATGCTGGTTCTTTATATAATATTTTCAGGCATTGCTAAATGATATACGAAACTTCGTATGATTTCTTTGCTGGGTAGATGATTTATTGGTCTTTTCTAAATGTTGACCAAAATAGAATTATTCTTTATCTGTAATTCAGGTATTGTTAAGTAAGACTTTAATGCTTTTATTTATCTTTCTTTCTCTACATACTAGTATACCAGGAGGGAACTGGAGAGGACACCTGACCAACATTAAAGACAGGTAGATGTAATATTTTATTTAAAAGTGAGGTGTTGTCTTTATTATTCTATCTTGAACTCTTCTTTCATAAATATTTAAAAAAGCTTTTCTCATCTAAGAAAAATATTTTAATCCTTGAGAATATGAACCTTTATTGTGTACATATGATTTCCCAAACTCCAGTTTCCAATTCATCCTTGTGCATTAAACAAGAGGATTTGGAAAGGAGTTAAGCTAAGCAGAGCCAAGACAGAAAAACACAGAGAAAAAGAAGAGCTGCCGTTTTACTGGATGGCTTATCTGTTTACTGTTTAGGAATTAAAGACTTACTTTTTTGGTTGGCTTTATAATACCATTGTTTCGCATGATATGTAACAGAGCAGCTTTGGTGTGTAGATGGATGTCCTCTTGAAAACTGATTCTATTCACGTGCTGCAGTTAATTTGTACATATGGAAGAGTTCTCCCTTCCCATCTGATTTTCAGTGAGGACAAAATTATTCTTTGTGTTAGATTTTCACAGGGATAACTTGAATATGTGTTTCTATTACAGCACAGTTTTCTCAATGTCTGCAAATTCTTATTTTAGATGTTATTCTATTTGAAACCTAGTTCTGTGTTTTTGTAGCAGTTTGGCAACTGTAAATGTATTAATTATACAGATGTCTCCAATGGATTATGGGGTTTTTTTGTGTTTTATAAAAATACACTGTGTTGCATACTCTGAAGTAAAAGCACGTGTAGAGTCAGATGCTTTTGAAGCCCGTGAAAGAACAGCATAACTCACTGTCCTAAGAGTAGGGATTGTTCACTGTAAGGTGGATTTTTATTATGTGTGAGTTTGTGTGTGTGTGTTGCTATACTGTATTATGATAATTCACCAAATTCTAGACAAACTTTTTCAGCCTTTAGGGTTTTAAAATTCTAAAGTTGATTCTCTTGGTTAAGAGGTAGCTTGTTATCTTACTGTCTGAAAACTCTGTTACAGAATTTGAGAGCTAAACTAACTTAGATCACCTCACATTTTAACATGGATTAAGAATCTGTGAACAAAGTCATCCTATATGGTGATATGAACACCTTTTATTTTGAAATAAACAAGTTTGATGTAGCCTACTTGGATACGTATTTGAATACAATTAAAATGGTTTGAAGAAAAGAAAAATAATATAAGAGGTTTGTTGTGTTTAAATTAGATGGCTGCTGACAGAGAAGATCATTAGGATTTAAGAAAGAAAAATAATTGGTTTTGTTGGGTTTTTTTGGGTTGGTTTTTTTTGGTCCTAATCATAAAGGACAAAGCCTTTAACGTACCTCTGAAACTCTTGTGGTGATTGTTACTAAACTTGGCTCTGCAGTCAGGATAACTGATGTCTTAAAATATGAGTCTTGAGTTAAAAAATCCAGAAGAACTATTTTTTCCTAAACTGAGCTTGACAATTTAATAGGCTTATTCATAGGTCATTCTGATTTTGTATGAGTCCTGGCAATGGTATCTAAGATGTGCATATCCAGGATATTTTCTTCTTCCTCTAGCACTGAGCTTCTAGTTTCTTTGAACTGTAGTAGTCAGAAGCTTGAACCCTCTGCAAACAAACCTTGAAGTTTGCTGACCACTTTTCTTTGAGGGTTACAAAAGCTTTGGATTTCCAAGGTCAGGTAAAGAAAGCTGCAGCTCAAGTTTTTTGATCCTGCATTCAAATTACTGTAGCACATCTGGCTTCCATGTCTGATACGTAGATGCTATAACACTCCAAACCTATCTCAAAAAAGTAGTCCCTCAAAAAAGTAGTTAAATGGTCATTTAGCTATAAGGACAGCTATATACTCTACAGAGGTGAAAGTCTTCTGTCTAGGAATTTCTCAGCATTAAATCCTAGAATAATCAATGAGGAGTTACAAAAACTGCAAGGTAATTTTAAAGGTATTGTTGTGAAAAAGCAGCAGTTAGACTAAGGGTCCAGTCTTGCAAGATGCTGAGTGTTTCTTGTGCCATTTTTACCTCTGCTCCCTTTGGGAATCCACATTGAGAATTTACAAGAAGAAACTGACTTCAGGAGCTTTGGTTCTTGACAGGTGATTGGAGTGGAAAGTGATGTGAAAGCGGTAGTTGCAGAAGGATCCAAGTTAACTATTGGACAAGTCCTTAAACTTTAGGCTTAATAATTTTGAAATAATCTCATAACAGTTCACCAGGCCTGTCTTCTCTGTTGCTAAACTGTGAAGTTCCTTAATGCATTAGATGTATTTTATGGTAGTTTTACAGCTATATGAGCAGCCAGTCTCATTGCTCATATTAATGTGTAGGCTAAGCATGCAGTGGCCACAGTGAGTTGAACAACTGAAGCATATTGTTCATATGCAGCAATGAATGTCCATTGTTGGGATTCTATGTGTAACATTTTTTGATTCAGTAAATGCAGTGTCAGCATTGTAATTAATGCAGTCTTGGCTTATGGTCTGTGCCTTAATGTATACCTCACTGTTGTGGTTTAACCCTAGCTGGCAGTAAGCTCCACACAGCTGCTTGCTCAATCTCCCCTGGTGGGTTCCAGTCCTATCTGACCATTTCTTCTTCCTTTTTCACATAGTTATTAAATAGTTACGCTTGGAAAAAATTCTAGTTTTAACCCACAATCAGAGATACAAGTCAAGAAGTGTACCCATGAAGTCTATGTATATTTGTAGCTCATTGGTTTGTCTTTGGAAAGTGTATCTGCAAAACTTCCAGATAAGTTTTTTAGGAAAAAAAAAAAGTTAATGTAGTTCTCAATTCAAGCACTGAGATGCAGGTTGCTTTGTCTCAGTCCTCCACTCCTACCCCAACCTTACATGCTTGTTTTGTGGTGAGCTCAGAGGTACATGGTAATGATGCATGACATACGTTTTTGACCTGGCTATGGAGTTGTGCATTGTGTTGATGTATGTGTTTAGTTTATAGGGGCTCATGGGAGAGACAAGTAGGAAGGAAAAGAATCGACAAATGGAACATGGAAGTGATGACAGTCCCAGTTTGATTTCCTTCAGACTATGTTATGGCAGAGCTTGTGACTGTGGGATGTAAAACAACAGAAAAGGCTAGATACTGAAAAGTAGGCTTGTTCTTTCTCTCAGGTTCTGGGGGGTCATACAGAAATCCAGAGGTGGCCACAGAAGTTAGGCCTGTCTTGTTTTGCATCTTGGAATTATGTGTGTGCTGTGCTAGCTGGCTGTAGGAACAAAAACTCAACTCATAGCAGTTGACATGGTCCTCTTGCCTGTAGTTCGTTTTTATTGCCTTTGTGAGTCCTGGGGAGTTTTTGCAGCACTAAGTTGGTTAGACAAGAAGTTGGGCCTCTTGGCTGGTATGGATCTGTGTGTTCTCTGTAGCGTTGCCTCACTTGTGCTGTTCTGGAAAATTTTTCGGAATCTGCCATGACATACCACCACTCATCTTGAGGAAACTAAAGAGTTTGAGGTCTGGTTTTTTCACATCTTCTGTTGTCCTATTCTGTAATATTTTCTTTTATGATGGATTTTCAATCTCTTTGGTCTTTTAGTATTACAAACATCCACGAGTCTGTCAGTGGAGAGTTCTTGTCTATGTGAGAGACAAAGCAGCATGTGCTTTGGAATTTGCAGAACCACAATTGTTACCACAGCTGCTGACCCTGCAACAGGGAAGCTAAGAGTACTGAGAAGTGGGTGATGTGAATGACAAAGGAAACTGTCCCAGTGCTGTATGTGTCATACAATCACTGACACAGCTGTGCATGATGGGGTGGTGTTTCTGGCTCTGGGAAATTAATACTAAGTGATGGGACTGGTTGACTGTAGCTGCAGAGCTTTCTGTTCAGGTGCTATCAGCCTGATATTAGACAATCTCTGGTGGAATTTGGCATTGTACAGACACACAGTGCCAGTGTGACTTAGTATTGCTGAGGGCTTTCAAAACAGCATTTCTGTTTTAATCATGTTCTGCTCTCAGTCTGTTCACTTTGACCACATCTGAAAAACCAAGTCTTAGCCTAGAAATAAGGGAAAGTCTGATAGCAAAAGACAAGTGTCACAAAGAAGGCAGCCTTGCTCATTATTTGCTTTTTCAACCATACAGCAGATTTATGTTACCCCCCCCGCGCCTTTTTTTTTTTTTTTTTTCTTTTGGGTGAGGCTATTCCTACACTTGTGACAGGTTAGGTTGTTCCAAACCTTGATAAAGCAGACATAGATAGCTTAGCTTTTTTGTAGGAGCAGTCAGTGTCACAATGGTGGAGTATTTCACTAGTACATTTTCTTGTAGCACCTTGGAATGAATTTATAGCTAGACCAAGGCTCTGTGACCTGGCTGCTAGCTTCGACTAGCATGCCTACAGCTATTTCATATGTTCTTGCCAAGCTAGTGCAACTGCGTCACCTTCCCACATTGAGATCTGGGCTGTATGTGTCCATGGTGACTTTCCTGTGTAGTAGGGAAACTTCCAATTATTAAAGACGTGGAAATTTGTGGTAATGCTGGGGATTGAACTCGGATCTCTCAAGGCCTAAATAAATGCTGGTAAAAATATTTAAGTACTCTTTTTTTCCCCCATGCTCATGCAGAGTTTTAGTCCTAAATCCTCAACATCTCTAGAGTGAAATCTTTGATCCTGATCACACTAAAACACATAAAAGTATTTCTTGTGACTTCAGTAGGTTTTGGATGCATCCCAGAAAGAGCACAACTAATTTTCTGATTATTATACTGTGTTGGAGTTCTTGTAAAGAATTGCGCTCATATGTAGACATTCAGTAAGTTAGTAAAATTTAAGCTATTTCTTATTTAAAAGCCTTTATCTTTTTATTTTCTTGTTTCACTATTATTACAGCGGACAGTGCCCAGTTTGCAACCGTCAGTTGGAGGATAGTGACCTCACTGAAGAGGAATATAATAATCTCAGAGAAAGAATAATAAAGGATGTGATACATGGAACTGACACTTTTAGAAAGACAAGCCCACAGGTAGGTCTTGCATGCTGTAAGGTTCATTGGCTAGGAGGTTAATATACAATTAATGTTCAAGTACTTTGAAAATACCACAAATCTTTTTTTTCTTTCCTTTAAAGATTAATAGGCCATTAGATACTGAAGTATTGTGTATATCTTTTTCAGTTGTTTTTGTGAAATGGGTCCAAGTCTTGACCTCTCTCATATTGTCTTTGTTTTTACATTTTCAGTCAGTTGTTAATGGATACTGAAATTATTAAATTTTTTTTTTACATTAAAAACTTTAAAAGGTATGGAAATATTCTAATCCTTCAAAAGCTAAATTTTAAATACGGAATAAAACCCAGTAACTAGAACAAAACAAAACATCTAGTATTTTAAGCTTGCAAAAAAAGTAGAAGTCCTAGTGTTTCTTCAGTTCAGTATCATATCTGAAGCTTACATTTATGTGCTGAATATTTGTTTTTTTTCAGTTGGGCAGCTGTTTGCCAGAAACCATAAAGAACCAATTACCATTTTGTTCAGTCAGCTTTCACAGCCTACCAACCAACCAACTAGCCCTCAATTTTAAAGATACACTTTCATATTTGTAATTACAGTATACATCAGGACTACCAACCTTTTCAAAAGTCATTGTAAACATATGGGAGGGCATAATTCCTGGACACTGTAGTATGTTGCAGTTCTGTATCTTACTCATTTTGTGTGGGGATAGCGTGGTTCTGCAGTAGTGATATGGAGTGAGGCTGAGCCCCGCTAGATGGAGCCCACGCCACATCTCAGGGTGGTTTCGCTTTACCTTTGTAAGTATTGATCTCATTGTGCTGCAGCTGGCACCTTAGCTCTGCACCAGTTTTGGAAGTATGGAAGAGGACACCAGGTTTAGTTCTTCAGGCTTTCTGCAGACACAGACTTTGTGCATGTGTAACAGTTACAGAAACTTGAAACAATTAGTGCTGGGGTGCTTGTAGTACATGCAGCCTATTGTTCAGACATCTAATTGCCACACAAATTTTCTCCTCAGTGCAGGATTTTTAGCTGATCTAGCTGTGAATTGTACAGGGAATTAAAATTATCCTTAAAAATGTAGCAATAATTTTAAGCATTTAATGGGTACTGGTTATAATATACACAAAAGGATGTGTTTTATTGCACATAGCACCACTAATTCTGTCTGTTCTCTAAAAGCCTTTGTGAAAGTTATGGTTGAGGTTGGTTTATTAAAGAAAGCAACAACAACAAAACTTTTGATTCCTTAACCAGTTCACTGTTCGTGAAGTTTCATGTCTGTTCCCTGTAGTGACTGCTGGCTTGAAAATTTCAAATTTGTCAAGTACACAGGGCTAAATTAGCAGTGCCAGTTGAAGGCTGTGAGATTTAGGAAGGGAGTTCTGGGTAACAGGACATTCACGCCCAAGCTGAGCAGTAGTGGAAATTATATTCCCCCTGTTTGAATGTTTGTTTTATTACATTGCATTCATTTGATCAATGCACTATTTTAAATGTTGATGTCACTACGTTTTGTTAGTCTGCGTGATAGCTGAAATTCTGTCATTTACCACAGTGGGGCCACTCACTTGCTAGTTCAAAGTAGACCTCGTTCCAGTTCCCTATAGGCAGGCAGTCACTAGGAGGCTGAATGGAGATGAACTCTGTGCGTTTACTGTTGGCTGTACAGTCTGCTCCCTCAGTGAATTTTGAGCATGGATGTGGGAGTAGAGGCAAAACAGTGTCATGATGTGTCAGAAGTTTCCAGAAATAAATTTGGGACTTTTTAGTTGCCTTTGTGCCATGAAAGCAGACGTGTGGTGATGAAAGCATGCTGCCCATTTTAGGTATGCCAGACTGTGTGACTTCTCCTGCAGCCAGGGTTTTCCAGAGGGGAAGCTAGGTGAAGAGGCTGAAAATAGGATGTAAGCAAGTGTATCTGAGAGGGGAGTTTCCATTTTCCAGTCAGTCACTTTTTTGTAGTAGCCACAATTCAAATAGAAAACATTTTAGCTTTCTATTCCTTCTCTTCTGGTTTTCTTTAGTGCATCTGAATTTCTTGCAATGAAATTATTAGTCAGGGAAACAGTTTGAGTTCTTTTAAGCTCTAAAAATCTTTTTTCCAAGAATGTTTCAAACTGAATATGTAATGCATTTGGAATATTTTTTTCACCGTGTCTTGTCTTACTTTTGCAACAGCATCATTGCTTTATTTGATTTTGTTTCTCCCACTTAAGAACAATGTGGTCAGAATAGAAAATGATGAGCAAAGATGTGATTTGTTGAGGATCCCACAAAAGTAGTCTGTTGTGCTGTGATTAGAAAAGAAATCTTTTTTGCAATTAGTTTTAGGAAAGAAAATCAAACAACTTAGGTTTGTACGTCAGAATGGTAGTGAACACTATTTACAAATACACTGAAAAGGTGGCTTTCATGAACTGTAAAACTGATTATCTGTGATAAGGAGATACCTGTTACGCATTAAAAATAGACATAAATTCAGATATTTATGCACAACTACTGGAAGGTCTATTAGGATGTCATATGATGATCTAATATAGTGAGCTACAACCGTGCAGGCTGCTGTAGAAAGAAAGGAATTGTAACAAGACTGGCACCTTTTGTACCAATGTCTATATGATGTTTTCAGTCAGATGCCTGTTTGCCCTGGCTGCATTTAGTTGGGAGCTACACCATTGAGCATGAGATTGTATGATCAGTATACTGAGAGGCAGAATCAACTTTTGCTGTTATGACTTAAATGTTGCAGCTGCTCCCAGGTGTTTCTCTCAAATATGCAAATGCAGTAATTTCATTCCCTTCGTGGCTACTTCATGCCCCTGATAAGCCTGAAAGGACTGTTGTGCAGGTGGATGGAAGCACATGGGAGGTGTGTATGTGCTGTAAGGAAGGCAGGAAGAGATGGGCTTGTGGACATGTGAAGTCCCCACACTAGATCCGGGCTAAGTGTCTAAGGGGATTTTACGTCCTCTTCTAGAATATAAGGGACTGGAGGGGGAAGAGGAAATGACCCATTCATCTCAGGGTTATTTTTGCAGTTGAATGAGGTTGTGCTATTGCCAAGGAGCCTTAAAAGTAAATCTCTGTCTCTTACTTTTAGACTGATGCCTTTTATTTTCTGTAGTGCTTTGGTTCTCCTTCCACATGTGCATGTTTCCCAGCTCCATGATTTGCCCCAAAGCCCTCCGTGGTATATGTCAGTCCTGTTCTGAATGGAGCAGATTGTTACTTTCAAAAAACTCGTGTACTTCAAACTCTAAGAAAACTGTGTCTGACACAGTCTGCCCTAACCCTGTCTGGCAGAGCCTTCACTCCCACACTCCAAGAAGTGTGATCTTCTCATTTTTCTACCTGCTTTGTTGGCTCTCAACTTGTGCTCAGAGTCTGCTAAATTCCCTGCACTTGAGGTGTTTCTGAGGTGAGCTCACCTGCCCTGACGTGCCTGGGTGATTATGGCTGTCCATCTTGCACCTGGCTGTCATTGCTTCTTTGCCCGAGCTCGGGAAGAAAGACAAGACTGGTTAATTCAGTTAGGCCTGCTGTGTCTCCTGAGAAGATCAGGGGCTGAAGAGGAGAAAAATCCTTTGCCACAAACAGCTGACACTGCGTGCACAGCATGTGCCACAGCCTAGGCTCGGTGTGCTGTTTACCTCCTCCGCCTCTGTTCCCATGTGTGTTACCTCCTCCCTGTAACTGCCAGAGAGCAAAGAGCTCTCTGAGGGGAGGAAATGTGAAAGGAAGAAGGCAGGGTGGAATTTTTCATGTGGGTTCATGTGCCCCTTCCTTCCCAGATGTGTGCTACATTGCAGCAAAGGGATCAGATTCCCAGTTAAGTGTTTGTCCTCTACAGGAGTGCAAAAATCTGGCATGTTGCTGAATGCTGACAAGTGCCTTGTGTTGAAATGGGGGCTTGTTTGGGGCAGGAACAGTTCCTGTGGTTTCTTCTCAGGACTGAAGTCCTCATGTCAGTTCTGTGGCAGGGTTTGGTTTAAAATGACAGCACTTGGATTTGGAGCTAGCTTCTGAAGAACCGTGCTGACAGGGTGAAAGTCCTGCTGATGTGATGCCAGCATGGGTTGAAAGCTTTCTGTTAGTTCTGGAGAGGGGCATAGGTATGGTGAGCTGTAGTTAGGGTTAGGATTAGGGCTAAGCCTAGGCTTCAAGATGATAAAGATTTCTGAGCTTGCTTTTATTTTTTCTTCTTTTTTTTCTCCCTCACCCCCTTCCTTCCTTTCTCTCCTTTAGGAGGCCCAAGAGGAGGATGACTGCTGAGATTACCTTAGATGAGCAAGTTATGACTAATTTTTGCATGGGTATGAGTTACTGGCTTGTAGGTTGGCTGGGATTTCAGGATGGCAAAGATGGAAGAACACGTTATGCTGATCTATGAAGTCCTGAAAGTGTAGTGTTTGGGGATTAGTGCTTTGAACAGCAGGTGCTGGAGAACCTGAGTTATTGTTGGAGTCTTACAAGTTCATTAGGAGTGAGTGACAGCTAATGCCGGTGGAGGTGAAGGGCTTATTGGCAGCCTTGTGAGTATGTGTAGGTAGTGCTGGGCTATGGATAAGACTAGGGTAAGAGCTGATACTTGGGAGTTAAAATACTTGAAGCACTTGCTGTGGTTAGGCCAGAGCATTAAATTAGAGGTGGCATTGGTAAGGACAAATGTGTTATCTGGTCTGCAACAACATGGCTCAAAAAACTTGCTTGTAGCTGTTGTTTGATTATAGGATGGCCAGTGCTGAACAGTTTAATTCTACAGGTTTTGCAGAATAGCAGATTGATGACTAAATCCATTATTGCCTTGTGGCTAATTTTTAGTTATGGGAAGGGTATGGTCATGAGTTTGTAGATAAGGATAGGGTTAGAATTGCAATCAGAATTAAATACACTGATATCAAGCCTGGAGACTCCTGGATTATGAAGATGTGCAGTCATAGGTCTAGGGAAACCTACAAAGATGAAACAACATTTGCAGATAGGATTGAACAGATTTTTTTTTTCCA